TTATATCCGGGTTACATTATATATATATATATATATATATATATATATATATATATATATATATATAACTCCAAAATTGTCCAAATCACGAAAAGAGTAAACAATATCGGACATATATAGATATAAATAGTGTGAACTTTGAAATCAGCAAAATATGTTTACTGTGAGTTTCACGCTTGAACGCCATCTTGCGACCAAAACTTGCATTAAAGTGTGAAAATGATTGTCGCTATGCTTACTGTTGATTCCTCTGTCAAATCTCTTCTTTTATACAATTTTCCTCAAAGACAACTAACAAGGTACTGCGATTATGATTTTTATTCAATTTTTTTTTCTTGTGTTCTTATCAGTGATTTCTTTTCTGGACATAAAGTACGTAGAGTAAGCGGAAGTGAAGAAAACATTAAATCAAAGGAGCAAATGACAAAATTAAACACACCGCGCAAGGGCTCCGCGCAGCCTTCCGGGTTTCAAACATACTTCAAATTTTAATTATTTACTTTGCTCGGACTATCGTCCTCATTTTTGTCGCCAGATATTTTGTCTTAATCAATATCCCCCCCAAAAAAAAAAAAAAAAAAAAAAAAACCGAAAAAAGGCGAAAGAGTGTGAGAAAACTTTAGATTCGGAAATCCAATGGATAAACCTCTACTCCTGTATCTGTCTATATTTCTGAGATGATGTATTATGTACACAATTTACATTGTCCTCATCTTTGTTGCCATATTTATCACAACGTTTCGGCCGTTGTACGTTCCGGCCTTCTTCAGGTGGCTGGAACATCGAACTGAACCATTTATTTCGCTCCCTGGTGTAGACTGTTTTACACGTCATGTTTTAATGAATGTCAGTTATCAGTTATCTCCTGTTAATTCCTTTCTCCAAGTTCTCCACTGCCTTAACCGGATATTGAACTCATACTCCTTGGGTCTTCTGACTGGATCTAACCAACGCCTTTATCCACTGTGCCATATGTCCTTCAGTGAGCGAAATAAAGGGATCAGTTCGACATTCCAACGTCCTGAAGAAGGACGGAGCATACAACGGCCGAAACGTTGTGAGAAATATAGCGACAAAGATGAGGACAATAGAATAATGTAAATAGTGTACATAATACCTCATCTCAGAAATATAGACAGATTCAAATTTTCAATTTAATAAAAATAAATAGCCACTAAAATCAGCTCCTGCCAGTAAGTAAACACAGGCCACTGGATCATACATAATGCCATAAAAATCAAACATTCATTCAACTCTGTAGAAAGACTGACAACAGTAAAGTTACACGACTCGATTTCGGAGACTTGTCATTTTCATCAAAGCAACAATTGATTCCTTTGATCTTGTCTTCCAACTCCACTTTTTCTCTTCTTCACTGAAAGACTATTCATGTTCATTTCCTTACAAAGAGAAGAATTTTTCTAACTTTTATTTCATAAGTAATTACAGTTAAAATGTGAGTATACTACGTTTAAATAACAAATAATTTTATTTGAAAACGCAACAATGTTTTCACTCATTTTTAAAAAATTCAAACAGTGACTCAAGAAATCTAGTCACTTGACCCAAAGAGTTGTGAGTTCAATATCTGGCTACTGCAGTGGTGAATACAAACTTACCGAGTTGAGTTAAACAGAGACATCCAGAAGAAGTATAACACGTGGAAATATAACAATCTGCCCCGGTGGAAGAAGTAAAGTGTTCAGTTCGAAATTCCAACCATCTGAAGCGTACAAAGGGCGAAAGATCGTGAATATGACAATAAATATGAGGTCAACTGTTCTACACTGTATTTTTTACTGACATATACGGATGTAAACTTGAAAAAAAATCTAATATCAACATATATTTTTTTAGAAATGACTTTTTTATGTTCTAAGCAATGTTATTTTCTCTTGATATCCGTCCTAGTCCCTGTTTTGTCATACATTTACATTAGGTAGGTGAATTGATGTTTGCCTCTGCCATATTTACGTTCAATATGTCCTGAGGGCGTCAAATCTTCTCAGTCTAATTTCTTTATGATGTGAACCAAACTTTTGGACAGTTTCGTTTCGTACATCTTGTTTCTATTTTTCGTTCGTCATTGTGCGCATGCTCCGTCTATTGTATTGTAACCCATTCTTTTTGTCAATCTTCATTTCCGTTGTCTCAAGTCTTCTCTACATGTGTGAGGAAACTGTCCACCATTCACTGCCATACCAAAGATGTTTATATTACGTAGCAGTTCTGCACTGTTTTTCTTTGTCTCAAACGAAAGATACGAACGCGTAATGTCTTTCTTTGTTCCTTGTTGACTTTCAATCTGCTGAACATCAGCCAAGAAAGTTAAGCACAGCGTAAAGTAATTCTCTATCAGAAATCTCTCTTTTCTTTATTCTCTCTTTTCGTCGATGTTATCTTTTCTTTTTCTTTTTATCTCTGTCATTTGTAGCTGTTCTCATTCTCCGTCGGTGTAACGTTTCCGTTCACACTGGATGATTTCCATTCGCAACTTTTATAAAATTACTCACGGAGTAGAATGAAATACACACACATATTCTTAGGCATCATTTTAGAATATATATATATACCCGTTTCGTACGTCACGTGAAAAGCTACGAGCAGCCTAGACAGACTTTACAAAATAGGCCAGGTCCTTTACAAAACAATTTACTTTGTGACATGAGCGACAAGCATTGATAGTTCCTAAGGCTTCAAGAGCCATTGTCATTCTGAGTAGACCCAAAACCATTGATCATCGATGACCATACTCACTCAACAAGTCGCTATCCACACACACACAAACACACACACACACACACACACACACACACACACACACACACACACACACACACACACTGATGCAATGAGAACGAAAGTAATATATAAATTCGAACGTTTACAGCATCAATCCAAAAGAGGGCTCGATACCGATAGTAGAGCGATAATTATTTATTATAATTTGATCATATAGACAAAAACAATTTACTCACTACAAAGATGCAACTTTGTTTCGGTGCATTTCTATTGCACCTCGACGGGTGAGAGTTTTGGTTCTCACCAGTCGAGATGCAATTGAAATGCATCGAAACGAAGTTGCATCTTTGTAGTGAGTAAACTGTTTTTGTCTATATGATCAAATTATAATTATTATTTCTGAATCCGACCTTTATGATTTTGTAAAAATCTGTTGGATTTATAAATAACAAATCCATTACTTCTTTAGAAAATTACTTTGTTTGCGTTTGTATACGAAACTGAGCAGAGATGATAATTTCGAGGAATTTATGACAAGAAGGATTTCGCTTAATGGCACTGCGCAGAATTTACAAGATCGGCAAAGCTTCTTCGTAGCCGAGCCGGTTAAGGCAGGTCGATTTCCCTCTGTCCTGGGGGACACAGTTTCGAATGCTGCCGGAGTCTGTATATTTTTCTTTAAAAAGATTTCATGAATATTCAAGTCAAGAGATGAAATAAATAAATTTGTTGTTTAATAAATGGAGCGTTTAGTCAAATAAGAGTATCCACTATAATTGAGCGTCTACTCAAATGAGAGTGATTGATACTTTTATATATATATATATATATATATATATATATATATATATATATATATATAGGGGATTTGAATAATCATAAGTATTTCAACGAGACTAGAAGAATCCTCAGCATAATGCAGAGAGCACAGTAGGACTGTTTTGTCCTATTTTTGGGACTCATCAGCAGTCCGCATCCACTACCGGGAATCGAACCCGAAACGTTATGATCTGAAGCAAGCCTCATACCCACTAGACCAACGATTCTCGGTGTCGATGAGCTGACAAACCCGACTCAATATAGCGCTATTTTTTCACAAATTTCGTCGTGTGAAACATACCAACGAACTGTGCACCCATGTCGCTTCCTTTATGATGATGGCGTTGGTGACTAAGTAAACCAATTCTTTCATGAAAGAACCGATGGCATTGACTGCATAGAAATGTTAGTTGAGGATCGATTTTGCCGAGCTTTTCTCTCTTATCGTTTGGCATTTTCCTTCTCTCTTCTGTTGGCTTCAAATTTTTTGTTTCCGATTGTGATGGAACATCACCCGTTGGTGCGGTCTTGGCCTTGTGTTTCAAACGATTTAGGCTCAAGTCTAGTGGATTTCTGTATTGTTTTGAGCTAGTCCTTGTATCGCGAATAGGGCAAGCTCGTGGCCTTTTCCCAGAAGTAAGGTCACTGAATAAGACTTCACGTAGAAAGCTTGACTCTTTCCTTCTTTCTACATGTCCTGTTCATCGAAGACAGTTTTTAATTATCAATTCCATGCTTTTATTGTTGGCTCTTTCAAGGATTTTGATGTTGGCCACATATTAAACGTTCGATGTTTAAGATTGGTGAAAACGTTCTAATCTTTGAATGTCCTGACGATATTTCGAGAGCGTATAGCAAAATTGACATGACAACAGTATTATTGACCATCATTTTTGTTGTTAAGTTCAGATTTTTGCTATTGAAGATGTATTTGATTAGCTTTCTAAATGCCGCGTATAAAGCTCCAATTCTGCGTTACACGTCCTTCTCCGGGGTATATATCTATATATTTTTCCATAATAATTTATCATGTCTAATCGTTTCCTCATATTTTGAGACTCATCGGCAGTGCGCATCCACTACCGAGAATTGATGCACACTGATGAAGAGTCCCCGAAATAGAACGAAACGGCCGCCCACTCCAGTTGAGGTTTCTTGGTCTAGACATGGTGAATAGTTATGTAAATTATTCAAATGCCCAAAATTTCTATTCATATATATATATATATATGTGTGTGTGTGTGTGTGTGTGTGTGTGTGTGTTTCATTCTGACGTGAAGACGCGAACCTCGCATACGGAGGCGAAACGCTTCATTAAAAAAGTTTTTCTACTTTCTCTCATTCCACGTCTATTCTTCGGATTATATTTTACATACACAAAACGCGCATGTATGTATGTATGTATGCATTTATATATGCATGTATGTATGTATTTATGTATGTATCTATCTATCTATCTATCTATCTATCTATCTATCTATCTATCTCAATCAGTCAGTCAATCCATCTATCTATCTCTTTCTCTCTACATCTATCTATCTCTTTCTCTGTATATCTATCTATCTATCTATCTATCTATCAGTATATGCATATATATATATATAATATATACGAATAAACGTATTTATATATATTGTCCGTATTTTATGAGAATATATCAATTCTTGTATAAAAATATATATTTAGTTATATATATATGAGAATCGGTATAATTTTCATGACTATATATATATATATATATATATATATATATATATATATATATATATATATATATGTGTGTGTGTGTGTGTGTGTGTGTGTGTGTGTGTATATATAATTAATATGTCTTTGTCTTTTCTCGTTTCCTCTTTTATATTTGTGTGTATGTCTGGGTGTCGGTGTATGTATGCGTTCGCGTTCGTTTTTTTTTTTTAAGTTAAGCTCTCCAAAATCTGGAGTTATTACGACTTGCTTCGTCTTTTTACTCCGGAAAAAAATATCTTTAAAAAAAAGAAATCGAGGCAAATTTGTACGGATCGACCATTTGAATATAATGTCTTTTGAGTTAAGTTCTTTGAACAGTTCTTTTTATTTCAACTCACCTCTTTTCGATCGCTCTATCAAAACTTAATTTGTTAAGGAAAATTTTGTTAGATCTTTAGAGCCATTCAATAATTTCTTTCTTTTCTTTCATTTATCATCTTTCCTTTTATCTTTTTCATTCATTTTCTTTTTTATTTATTTCCGCTTATGTGATAAATCGTTTCTTTTGTTGCTTTTCTCATTTTTTTCTTTTTCATTTTAGTTAACCACTTCTTCCTTACTTTTGGATATTGCATTTTATACGCACTTTTTTCTTTCTTTCTTTCTTTCTTTCTTTCTTTCTTTCTTTCTATTAAAAACCGTCAGTTTTTCATTACTCACGCTTTAATTTTCTTCTTTTTTGACTTTTTTTAGACTTTTTCTTTCTCTATATTCAATTGTTCATAATACGAAAGCGCTCAGAGCGCTCTTTCTTTCTTTCTTTCTTTCTTTCTTTCTTTCTATTTAACCACCCATATCTATCAAAAACCCTCAGTTTATTTCCTTACTTACTCTTTAATTGTTTTCTTTTTTTTGTTCTTTTAGGCTTTTTCCTTTCTCTCTATTCAACTGTACATAATACGGAAGTGCTCTTTCATTCTTTCTCTCTGTCTTTCTTTATCTCTTTCTCTCGTTTTCTCTATTTAATCACCCTCTTCTATAAAAAAAGCCGTCAGTTTTTTTCATTATTTACTCTTTAATTTTCTTCTTCTTTGTGTCTTTTAGACTTTATATTCAACTGTCCATAATACGAAATTTCTTTTTCTTTCTTTCTTTCTTTCTTTCTTTCTTTTCAATTGTTCTATACGCAAAATGTATAAACTTGCTTTCGTTATTTCTGTCTTTCCATCTTCTTTCTTTCATTCCGCAGTCAATTTCTTTTTAGTTTTCTGTTACTTTCCCTTATTCAAAGGCCCAATATTTCCATTTTCTTTCACTTACTTTCATTCATTTACCAATTCTTTTAATTTTCTTTTTCTTTTTCATTCGACGGCCCAAATTTTATTATAATTTCTTTCATTTTTCTCTCTTTTATTCATCGTACCAATTTTTCATTTTTCCATCTTTCTTCTTCTTTCTTTGATTTAATCGGTCAATCTTTCATTTTCTTTGTATCATATTCCTTTCTCTTCTTTTATTATCTTTTATTAAATTCTTCAACTCTGCATTTTTCTTTTCTATCCCTAACTTGCATTCATCCTATCATCATTAATTTCTCTTTTATTTTCTTATCCATTTTTCGTCTTTTTCTATGAGCCGTGTCCATTAGGGACGTGGGATATCATAACTCACATCAATTTCCTGTCCTTTGTAGCTCTTAATATTTTTTTTTTTATTTTTGTTTTATCTCCTAAACTTTACTCGGCCATCTACTTACTCAAGATCTCTAAGTACGTTATTCATTGTTTTCCTCTGTCCCTCTTGTGTTTCATCTTACCTGTGACTATCAGATTTTTTAAAAATCCCTCTTTCCTCAACATGTACCCGAATAATTTCAACTATTTCTTTCTGGTGTAAAGTAAAAGTATCCTTTTTGTTTCCATTTTCTCTAAAACTTGATCGTTGCTTACATGTTCGGTTCCTAGTATTCTCAGCATCCTTCTGTAGAACCACATTTCGCTTCAAGTCACTTCTTCATCTGTGAAGAAACTGTACAGCATTCACTGCCATACAAGAGGACTGATATTACACAACAGTTCAGTGCACTTTTCTTTGTTCATATCGAAAGTATTTGTTTCATAATACTTTACTTAGATTTTGGAAGGCATCTTTCTCTATCTCAATGCGCCATCGAATTTCCATGTTGTACTTTCCGTCTTCAGTTAAAACACTTCCTAGACAATTAAATTGTTGCAATTGGTTGATGTTACTATCTACAATTTGAAATTTGCATGTTGGGCTCTTCTTTTTGCTAATAACCTTGCATTTCATCTTGCAATTGATGTTGAGTTCCTTTTGTTTCGCTTTCCTTCTCTACAGTGTGTCGGATTTCTTGTGTCATCTGCATATCTTATGTTGAAACATGTTCGACTGATACTTTCTTTTTATGTGCCGTGTCATTTCAAGACGTAGCCGATCATGGCTCTCCACTTCCTCCCCTATCTCTTGTAACTCTCAATAAGTTTCATCCCTCTGTCACCTCCCCCAGACTACGTTCTGCCGTCCACTTGCTGAAGCCCGCCAGGTATGTCATGTGGTGCTTTCCCCTGTCTCTCTTTCCCTCTATTCCATCTGTGAGTATCAGATTCTCCAGAACGTTTCCTATTTGTTTTTTTATTTTATCTTCCTGTCGGATTCCGATTCATATTTGATCTAAATATAATCTTTAACTTATATCATATGTTGTTCATATTCTACACAACAATAATGAATCATTGTAAGCCTTTTAATTTTCTCAGAATCGCCTTACTGTATAGATTGAATATGTCCGCTAAAAAATTCCATCCTTCTCTTACACGCTTTTCTATTTTTTTTAAAATATTTATTGAATTCATTTTTTATCCGAATATAGTGGTTTTGCTGTTATCACAGTTTCTGGATTATTTCTTCTTCAGCACTCTAAAATATATTTCTTTTATTCATTTAATTGTCCAGATTTTCATTCGTCTTTACTTACGTTGTAACCTAATCTTTTAACTTTCTTTCCTTCATTTATTTTCTTTCGCTGAGAGATTTGTGGTCTTTTGCTTTTTTCCAACTGTTCAGTCTTTCTTTTATTCCGTGACTGATTTTTTCTTTTTTTTTATTCAGTGATTATTTCTGTCTTCCTTTATTCAGTGATTCTTTCTTTCTTTTTTTATTCAGTGATTCTTTCTTTCTTTTTCTTTCTTTCTTTTTTCTTTCTTTTATTCGGTGATAATTTCTTTCTTTCTTTCTTGCTTTCTTTCTTTCTTTCTTTTATTCAGTGATTATTTCTTTCTTTCTTTTATTAAGTGATCCTTCCTTTCTTTTATTCAGTGATTCTTCCTTTCTTTCATTCGGTGATTCTTCCTTTCTTTTATTCAGTGATTCTTTCTTTCTTTTTTTATTCAGTGATTCTTTCTTTCTTTTATTCAGTGATTCTTTCTTTCTTTTTTATTCAGTGATTCTTTCTTTCTTTTTTATTCAGTGATTCTTCTTTTCTTTTTTTATTCTGTGATTCTTTCTTTCTTCCTTTCTTTTATTCAGTGATTCTTCCTTTCTTTTTTATTCAGTGATTCTTTCTTTCTTCTATTCAGTGATTCTTTCTTTCTTTTATTCAGTGATTCTTTCTTTCTTTTTTTATTCAGTGATTCTTTTTTCTTTCTTTTATTCAGGGATTTTTCCTTTCTTTTATTCAGTTATTGTTTCTTTCTTTTATTCAGTGGTTCTTTCGTTCTTCCTTTCTTTTATTCAGTGATTCTTTCTTTTTTTTCCTTCTTTCTTTTTTCTTTCTTTTATTCGGTGATAATTTCTTTCTTTCTTTCTTGCTTTATTTCTTGCATTATTTCTTGCTTTATTTCTTTCTTTCTTTGTTTTATTCAGTGATTATTTTTTCTTTCTTTTATTCAGTGATTCTTTCTTTCTTTTTTTATTCAGTGATTCTTTCTTTCTTTCTGTCTTTCTTTCTTTCTTTCTTTCTTTCTTTCTTTCAATTTCCCCGACCGTCTTTTTTTTTATTTTCATTCGCTTGCCATTCTTTTTCTTTCTTCTTTTATTCAGCATTATTTCTGGCCTATTCTTTCTCCTAGAAGATGTCAGAGAGTGAATTGTTCAAAAAAGAAAGGCGTTATTATCATTTCTTTTTTTAGTCATTCACACTTTGCCAGTTTCTATCCATCTCTTTCTTAGATTTTTTTAATCTCATGTCTTGATCAGTTTATTTCTTCCTCCATTTTCAACTTTTTCTTCCTCTCCGATTTTTTTTTACTCTTCGATTTATGTCCCTTTCATCATATTTTTTTCCTTTTTATATCTTACTGTCTTATCTTTAACAATGACTTTTTAATTTCACTTTCATTTTCAATGTCTCTGTCTTTTTTCCTTATTTTTTCTTCCTTTCATTCTCTTTTTTCTCTTTCTTTATTCTCTACATTTGTAATTTATTAGTCATCGTTTTCTCGCTTACACCCTATCTTCTTCCAACACTTCTCTCAAACTCCATTTTGTCCTTTTTTGACTCGGTTTGAAGTCAACTTCCGTCTTTATTTCCAATATTTTCTCCTTTTCTATTTCTCACTTTATTTTAACGTTAAACTTTCGCTTCACCTGCCTTTGATTTTAAGTATATCGCTTGTATATCCACCTTGTTTATATCGCATTCTTTTTTCTCTTTCCCCTGATTTGAAGTCTGCATTATCCTCTCTGTTTTCACTTTCCCCCATTTTTTTCCCAGTCTTTCTTTCCGCTGTCTTTCATTTTCTCTTTCTTCAGTTTATCTTGCTGCCAAATTTTGTCTTTTCTTGCTATCTGTTTATCTTTCTCGTCTGTGTCGAAATTGAAAATAGATTTAAGCCAGAGAAATAGAGAAAAGTGTAAGATCTTTCTATCGCATCTATTTTTCTGGCTTAAAACCTATTTTCACTTTCACTTTCACTTTCTCCTTATATGCTACTCTTTACTTGTATAAGGTTTTGCTTCCCTTCAATCGTTTCTCCTTTCTGTTTATTTCTTTCTCTGCGTTCGTCACTATCGTAATAAAATCAGTTTTATTCGCATAATCCTATTAAAGTAGATTTCAATTCTATCTTTCAAACACTTCCACGCTTCACACGGAAATTACCTGTTTATTTAATTACTTTTTAAATATACCCTTTTCCTTTGCTTTATTTTTGTGACGAGTTTCCATGTTTTAATTTTTAATGAATTTATTCTAAATCAATGAGCGGAACTCAGTATTTTCGCTTTCGGTTTTATTCCAATAAAATGCAACCCAAACACATCTCGTGTCTAAAACTTCTCTTGCCTCACTAATCCGCTATCAAAAGTGAAATCTGTACCCATTCTTACGAGTGCATTGTGTATTTAAATTGACAAACAGATGCGAGCATGGCTTCATGGTAGAATGTTAGGTGAAACGCTCGAGATGGCTGAATATAGAATCATCTCGATCTATCTACCGTTTCTTGTTTGATTATTTCTTCTTCTAAGCACTGCGTCCATTCAGGACGACTCTCCACTTTTTCGTCTTCTTTGTAGCAATAAAGCAGTATTTGTCTTTATTTTGTCTTGTGAGTGTTTAATTCTCCAATCTCCGTTTCCTCATTATATATCTCTTTCTGATTCTATGTACAAGTTTTTTTTTAACATTTCCTTTAAAACGCTGTCGTTGCTTACATACTTCATTCATGGTATTCTCAACATCCTCATGTAGAACCATCTCTCTGTATCCTCAAATTTTCTCTTCGTCTGCGTGAAAATTGTTCTTCATTCATTGCCATAAAGGAGGACAGATATTATATAGCTGTTCAGCGCACTTTTCTCAATCTTTTTTTTTTGCTTTTGGAAGGAAAAAATTAAGCTATGCGTCTTCGGATTTAGATGTCACATTTTCTGTCGTCTGTTAAAATACATATATAAAGTTATCTAATGTTTTAAGAAACAGAAAGATTTCGTTAGAAACAAAGAGAAGTTACGTAATTATAATCCTTCTGTCTGACGGTGAGTGCTCGACAATCTTCTCACAGTTGAAGAACAGACACGTAGTAACAGAAATGTGGTTCTACAGAAAGATGCTGACGATGCCGTAGACCAAACATATGAGCAACGACGACGTTTTAGAGAAAATGGAGACAAAAAGGAAACTTATGCTTAGCATCAGGAAAAGTCAGTTAAAATTCTAGGGCGTATAATAAGGAAAGGGAGATTGGAAAGTCTCGTACCCACAGGACGGATTAAAGGCAGGACGGTTAAAGGCAGGACGGACAGAGGAAAACAACGCATAACTTACCTGCTGAGTTTGAGTCAATGAATGGTGGAACAGAGGTTTAGGAGAGATAAAAAAAAAAGATTTCATTAAAAGTTATAAAAGACAGGAAAGACTGTAGAGAGCCATGATCACCAACGGCATAAAGAGACAACACATAGAAGAAGAAGAAGAAGAAGAAGAAGAAAAAGAAAAAAAAGAAGAGGAAGAAGATGAAGAAGAGGAAGAAGAGGAGGAGGAGGAGGAAGAAGAAGAAGAAGAAGAAGAAGAAGAAGAAGAAGAAGAAGAAGAAGAAGAAGAAGAAAAAAAAGAAAAGGAAGAAGATGAAGAAGAGGAAGAAGAGGAGGAGGAGGAAGAAGACGAAGAAGAAGAAGAGGAAGAAGAAAAAGAAGAGGAAGAAGAAGAGGAAGAAGATGAAGAAGAGGAAGAAGAGGAGGAGGAGGAGGAAGAAGAAGAAGATGATGATGATGAAGAAGAAGATGAAAAAATAGAAGAAGATGAGGAGGAAGAAGACGACGAAGAAGAAGAAGAGGTGGAGGAGGAAGAAGAAGACGAAGAAGAAAAGGAGGAAGAAGAAAAAGAAGAGAAAGAAGAAGATGAAGAAGAAGAGGAGGAGGAAGATGATGATGATGATGATGAAGAAGAAGAAGAAGAAGAAGAAGAAGATTTAATTGATTTTGACCCTTCCATCGGTAACTCGTATCTTTGGCTATGTCTCTTGTGTACAACTATGATCATTGTCTTCTTAAAATTGGTAGTCTTTCCTTTTCACATTCATTTACTAATTAGTATCGGAGATCCTGAAGTTTTCTAAAGCTATCATCACGCTGTCATCTGCATATTTTATGTTGCTTAAGATTGCGCTCACCGATAATAAATCCTTGTGAGATTTCTTCTCTTAGGATTACGGAGTTTAATTTAAATTGGTGCAAACCTATAAGGCTTCTCATATTGAGATGGAGGATTTTGATTACAGTATACCCGACATTCTGAAATGAAGCTAGAATGAATATACATCAATTTGGTACGATATTTTGCTGTCACTCCCAATCTGAAATACCAAGGTGGCTTTTGAAGATTATTCATTGAGCGCAGCCAAGGTAAGATTTTGGTACTGATGCATGGAACTTGAGCGGGAAATTCTTGAAAGCTACTCACTTTCTTGGACGCCGTAAACAAACAGAACACTCAATGAAAATAGACGAGTGGCAAAACGAAAATTAAAAGATTTGGGAATTCTAGAGAATGAGCGCAAAGATGATGTCTAATTTGAATATCTCGGCTTCCTATTCTTCAGATCTCTTAGTATTTTGTGGTAAAACATCGCATCATCAATATTAACGGATGGGCGGCGTGGTGAAACGGCTTGGAAGGGAAAACCGGAGAGCCGAGTTCAAAATAACAATCGGGTTTGTTACTTACACATACGCGCAAATAACACTTGGGAAAATTATGAAACCATCTCTTTCCACGTAGCTATCGGTTGAATAGTGTAGAGCAAAAAAGTAATGATCTACAAACCTTAGATTAGTTGTGGGATAAGACCGAAAGTAGGGAGCAACTCAGTAGTGATTTACTAACCGTAGCATAGGTGTGACACAAAGCCGAAAGAATGGAGCAACCCAGTAGTGATTTACTAACCGTAGTATAGGTGTGACACAAGGCCGAAAGATTGGAGCAACTCAGTAGGGATTTACTAAGCGAAGCATAAGTGTGATACAAGGTCGAAAGAATGGAGCAACTCAGTAGTGATTTACTAACCGTAGCATAGGTGTGACACAGGGCCGAAAAAATGGAGCAACACAGTAGTGATTTACTAACCGTAGCATAGGTGTGACACAAGGCCGAAAAAAATGGAGCAACCCAGTAGTGATTTACTAACCGTCGCAGAGGTGTGACACAGGGCTGAAAAAATGGAGCAACCCAGTAGTGATTTACTAACCGTAGCATAGGTGTGACACAAGGTCGAAAGAATGGAGCAACTCAGTAGTGATTTACTAACCGTAGCATAGGTGTGACACAGGACTGGAAAAATGGAGCAACCCAGTAGTGATTTACTAACCGTAGCATAGGTGTGACACAAGGCCGAAAAAAATGGAGCAACCCAGTAGTGATTTACTAACCGTAGCATAGGTGTGACACAGGGCCGAAAAAATGAAGCAACCCAGTAATGATTTACTAACCGTAGTATAGGTGTGACACAAGGCCAAAAATATGGAGCACACGGTGACGATCGAACACACTACTCATTCGGAATTGATATAGCGTGACAAACTTGTTAACCATTACACTATGTCGAAGTACCCTAAATGATTTTTAGCGTAGATTATATCTAGCACAAAGCCCCAAGTATGGGACACCCAGTGAGGATCAAACTAACTATTCAATCGTAATTAATCCAGCGAGAACACCACGTCGAAGTCCCAAAATTTTCTATGAGTAGCGTAGATGTGGCATAAGGCCGAAAATATTTGATTCAAACTGGGTGCTCGATATTTTCGGCCTTATGCCACTCACTACTCAATCGTAATTGATCTAACGAGAAAAGTGCCCTCCCATAAAATTAGGTATACGTGCTGTAGAAACAACGGAAAACGTGTCAGTGGAAGGCGACGGACCGTGGAAATTGAGAAAAATGTCTCCCAGAAATTAAGCAAAGTATAAAGAATTAGCAGATTTTTGTTTGGAGGAATGAAAAGTTCTAGGAAGCAGTGGATGTAGGACTATTTTTTTAATACAGGAATAAGAAACATAAAGCGACAAAGAATTTATATTTTCCGCAATCAGTTCCTAGATAGCTGAATATCTGTAGTAGCTTGATTTTTACATTGAAAATCAAACTAGCAACATTTCTTTAACGCCGATCGAACCGAAGTTTATCAGCAATCACGATGAACGGATGTTCCCTGAGGGTGACTCCGTGACTTGAGCAATTATTGGGTTTCATCCCCAAGCGAAATTCTTCCAAAAATTTCGCTTGAGGATAAAACAGAATTTGGTACTTTAATTCAATTTAATTTTAATAATTATATTAAAGTGTTTGGCTCCTGTTTATGAAACATGAGAACTCTTATGTAGGGAAGGAATCATATTTTAAAAAAATATAATGTAGGCTCTACTATTGTATTGAGCACTGTCTTTAAAAATAAAACAAAAATATTAAAATCTTCGGATTATTTACCTAATGTGTTCTTTCCTATTTTCTATATTATTCACACACACACACACACACATACACACACACACACACACACACACACACATATATATATATATATATATATATATATATAAATATGTCACCTATACGGAGTTGACCCTGACGATCCGTATAGGTGAAACCTTGGTAGGTTTAATTGGATCTTTAGGTTCATATTTAGGATTGCTCTACTTTGGACTCTGAGCTTGAATTCTGGATGATTGTTTTCGCCTCAATTTCATGTTCTTAATTCTTTCTTTTTTATCCCTTATTTTACCTTTGGCATTGGTTTGTTCAGTTACAAGCCAAAATACATAAGGTTTTTCCAAACAGTATAATTATTCACACACACACACACACACATATATATATATATATATATATATATATATATATATATAT